AAGCATCTCACGTGAGGGACTTTAGTCCCAATAGACTGCCCCTATCTGCAGGTTTCTAGTTAAAAAGAATACATAGTTGATGCTGATGTCACAAAATAAATTATATTAACATAATTTGTTTCATATGGCTGACCTCTTAAATGTGTTGGTTGTTCACGTTATGAACACAACCAAAATAACAAAGAAAACTATTAATTATATAGAAAATATAGAAAACCGGAGGAGACGTTTGCACGGAAACGTAACTACGACATGAGAAAAAATCGAATTTATTGTGGTAGAGACGATCGATCTACATCTTGCCAGCTCGTACGCGTGCAGAAAATGTGGACTGGGAGCGGCGATCCTGCATAAAAACATGGATGCGTTCAGGAAGAAATTTCAACAAACTAAGCGTGAGTCGCAGGCTTTTCTTCTAAGAGAATGGCAACTGAAAATGGAGGATCTATGGTTTCGAAACGAGTTCTTTTTGACAAAACGAATGTGAACACGGCACGCTGTCGAATACATCTCTCCCCTCTGTGTAGTTTGCGATAGTGTCTCGCTGGTATTCTGTGCAAGAAATATCATGGTAGTCTAAACGTTCCAGCACTGTTATAATGCATTCGTCAAGATTTGTGTCATGATATCACAAACTGCTGTTGATCGCAATCGCGTATAGTACAGTACAGTACAGTACAGTCAAAACAAACTTCGCGTAAGTCGTGGGCAATCCTAGTATCCAGCGACCTCTAACCTATTTCACGATTGGCCGCGATAAAATGATAGACATCTCCGCGACTATTCATTTGCATATGAAAGTATCTGAATCTGGTTAGAAATCTTACCAGTGAATTGCAGCCCCGGACAGTCGGTCGTGCCAAGCGGCATACTTCCTGTTCCGGCGTTCGCAATTTATTCACGCATATTTGTTAATAATAACAGATTAATATTAGGTACGACGATTGACAGTCTAGTATACCAGATGACATGCTGCTTGTCTGTGTTTATTTTAGTTGTGTATCTGTTAACTGTGGATACAAGGTGAATCCATCAAGCATCTTCACTCTCAATGCATCCTGTGATATGTGTACACGTTTGCAATGGTCAACTTTGATGACATTCAAATGGGAACTATGGATTGATAAGAATTTAGATAGAAATTATGTTCAGATTTACAACTGGGAACGTATGACATCTACAGGTAATAG